AAAAAAAAAAAAAAAAAAAAAAAAAAAAAGGAAAACCAATCAACCAAATCAACCCCAAATTCCCCACAAAACCTACAACAACCAAAGCAATCCCCTCCCCTTAGTAAAACCAGGTTAGAAAGTAAAGGGAGTGACTAAGAGAAATCCCACACAAGACAAGACGGGGTGGACATTCAATGAACCGTGACGTGATGGAGAAGCAAGAATTCAGGCTGACAGCTGTGCTATAGCCACAGGGGCCTGTGACCAGGCTGGGGCAGTCTGCTAGGGACTTAGGAAGGAAGCAGGAACAATGCCATGGTTTACTGTATATTAAATGGCTTGTTTATTTTTTTTTGAAAAGGATATTATGTAGCCAAAGCTGACTTTGACCTCACCAGGCAGATGAGGTTGGCTTGGAACTCCTCACCTCTTACCTCTACCACTGACACACTGGGATTCCAGGTGTGCACCAACAACCGCACCTCACCTGAAACGGTGTTTTTATTTATTTATTTGTTTGTTTATGTGTGTGAAATAACTGAGGGCTGTTAAGAAAATTGGTGGAGAGTTTGGGGTTCAGCTATCAAAAACCACAGCTGTGGGGTCCTTAATAATGGGATCCACTTAACTTGCAGAGAGAGGAACGCAGGCAAAGAAGAACATGCCTAGTGGATGTCTGTTAAGACCGGTGCTGAGTCAGTCACATCGCCTCCCCTCCACCCTGGTGACAAGGTTAATAAGATGACCACATGGGAGAGTTAAAACAGTAAAAGGAAGAAAGAGCGAGCATATGTGTATGTATCATATATCAATCGGTAATTAACAGCCCTTTTCTCAATATTTAAAGTCTTCCTGATAGGACAGCCCGTGGGAATTGAATAAATATATCTGTAGATTTTGTTCAGTAAAATATACTTACTGAAATACATAATCTTACGTAGACAGCTTGATGACGTTTTACAAAGTCAATTAATGTGCACTGTCACCTGCCACGCCACGCCAAGAAACTTAAGTACCCCAGAGCTTGGAGTTTGGCTCAGCCCGAGAAGGCACCGAGTTCCATTCCTGAAACCTACTGAGCGAAGAAAACAGACTTCCTGACGTTTTCCTCTGACTTCCACTGGTACATTTTGGCACGCTCCCACACCCATCACTCAATAAATAAGTAAACAAAAAAGGAAAAGTCAAAGGGAAAGGCGATTAGCTAAATACGGTAAAGCAAGGTGAGGTGGGAGAATTGGGGGGCGGAGTGCAGTCAGGTGGGGGCGGAGCCTTGACCAGCCAATTAGCGCAAGGGGCGTGGTCACGCAGAGGCCCCCCCCCAGGTCTCACAACTGGGGCGGGGCTCCTGGCCAGCCAGTTAGCACGAAGAGGCGTGGCCACAGGAGGCCTTTGGGGACGACCTAGACCAGGCGTAAGGTTCCCGTCCTGGACCAACAGAGCTCACAGGCCCGCAGAAGGTTCTGGATCGCCAAGAAGGACTCTGGTGCAAAAACAAGCTCCTTGAGTAAGGAGGAGGCTTCCAGACACTTAGGGGCCCCGGGAATCAGACAGGGGCGGGGCTACGTGGCGCACGCGGCGTCGGGGCGGGGCTGGCGCTGGCCAAGATGGAGACGAATGTGTTCCGGTTTCGAGATGCCCGCGCCGCTCCGGATCCCGTGCTGGAGGCCGAGCCGGTGGCCTTCGGCTCGCAGCCGGTTCCGCTGGTGCTGGACAACGGATCATTCCAGGCTCGCGCCGGGTGGGCGTGCCCCGGGCCGGATCCGGGCCCCGAGCCGCGCCTGCAGTTCCGCGCCGTGTGCGCGCGCGGCCGTGGCGGGGCGCGCGGCGGGCCGGGGCCGCAAGTGGGCAACGCGCTGGGCAGCTTGGAGCCGCTGCGTTGGATGCTGCGCTCTCCTTTCGACCGCAACGTGCCGGTCAACCTGGAGCTGCAGGAACTGCTGCTTGACTACAGCTTCCAGCATCTGGGCGTCTCCTCGCAGGTGAGGGCGGGCTGGGCGGGACGTCACTCCAGGCAGTCTAGTAGTAAAGCTTCCCGTGCGTCTGCCCTGTGCTAGGAGTTAAAGGTGTAAGGGTACACTTGAAGATAGAGCTCACGTGATTATTAACAGTGTGGCCTAATAAGCTTGAATTGAGCGGGGAATGGTGTCATACACCTTTAATGTTAGCACTCCGGAAGCAGGGGCAGGCAGATCGCTGTGAGCTCGAGGACAGCCAGAACTATTACACCAAAACACCCTATCTCAGAGAACAAAGAAATCCCAAACAAACAATAAGCTTAAATTGACAATACGTTAATGCTTTCCAAAACTGAAATGTGTGCCTTATAATTGGTTTTGATCACCTTTTTGAAGGTTTATTTCAAACTATTTCAAAATTGTATGTGCCACTATGTTGTGTACCAGCCTTAGGTCTGGGACCGTCTGCAGCTGGAGTTAGGTGGTTCAGAGTGGCTGGGAAACTTGGGTTCAATGCTACCAATCTCTCCAGCCCCCATTAAGTTTTTAATTAGAGCTATAAAACAAATTAAACCTTGCAACTTGGATTTGGATTATTTTTGTATTTCATGCATGTTCTGCCGTCATTCATCTGTTTGTGCTTCTCTTTCAAAGTAGGGCTGCGTTGATCATCCCATAGTTTTGACAGAGGCCGTGTGCAACCCGCTCTATTCACGCCAAATGATGTCGGAGCTCCTATTTGAGTGCTACAGGATCCCCAAGGTTGCCTATGGGATAGACAGCCTCTTCAGCTTCTACCACAACATGCCCAAGAATGCTCTTTCCAACGGCCTCATCATTTCATCCGGCTACCAGTGTACACACATTTTACCTGTCTTGGAAGGAAGGTGAGTTGCACTTGTGGCATTTAAGAAGCCTTGATTGAGGACCTACTGGAAAACTGGAATGGAAAGGTACCTATTGGGAATGTCTGGCAAGCGCTAGATGATGAACTGAACTGGACTTGGCTACATCAGTGTGTGGCTTCCTACGGTATTTACCTATTTTACCTGTCCTTCGGGGCCTCCTTGATAGAGTTCAAGTGTCTAACTGACAGTTATATAATTTTATAATTCTTATTTATGGGAAATAGCACAGTATCTACCCATAGTAGACATTCAGTAAACTTTTTTATTTCTGTTTTTTTTTGAGCAGTAAACGTGTTTTGAGTACTACGTTATTTGAATATATTTATTTCTCTCTTTAACCTGGCAGTAGTGGCACACGCCTTTAATCCTCACACTGGGGAGGCAGAGGTAGGTGGGTCCCAGGGTTTGAACTCAAAGTCCTCAGCCTTTACAGCAAGCACCTTTACCAACAGAGCAATCTCACTGTCTCTTGAATAGATTTAGTTTAGACCATTTTGGTATTCTGGAGTAATTTTTTGTTTTTCAAGACAGGCTGTCCAGGAACTTGCTTTGTAGACCAGACTGGCCTTGAACTCACAAAACTCCACCTGCTTCTTTTGCTGGGATTATAGGTGGGATTAAAGGTGTGCACCACCACGCCCAGCTTCTGGAGTCATTTTTTAGTTAAGAATTTTTGCATTGTAAACTCTTTAATTCATATTGCCCATACCTTTAATTTTGTTTATATTGTCTAACCCATTCTAGCCAGTTATGGAAATTTTCAGAGCTGAATAAAAGGCAGGTAGTTCTAATCTGTTCCTGTCTCAGAGTTTAGTCTTATTTTCTCTTGTGAGATGAGGCTACCATTGTGACCCTAAAGGTTTCCCATGTAAAGAGGTGTGTACCACAGGCAACAGGCTCAGGCTCCAGAGCTGGATGCTTGGATTTGCAGCCCTGCTAAAGTGAGACTCATGCCCCTTCATGTGCTTACACATCTAATAAAATGCCCTTGGAACTGGCATGCTTGACCATTTCCGTTACTTCTAGGCTACTTGACTCTAGGATCACCCACCTCCCAGAGGTCCAGGCTGAGCCACTATCAATATCTTGCTTTGGAATGTGTGTTTATTCTGTTGAACTGTCTTTTTTTTTTTTTTTTTTCCCCTGAGACAGGGTCTCTGTATAGCCCTGGCTGTCCTGTCCTGTATCTCACTATGTAGACTAGGCTGGCTTAGAATTTACAAGACATCTGCCTGCCTCCGCCTCCCAAATGCTGGGATTAAAGGCGTAAGCCACCATGAGACTGGTCAGAAGTTAAAGGCCCATGTGTCTGGGTGTGCAGTAGGAGTTCTGGCCGTTGGTAATGTACCAAGGGACTCTTGCTGATGTGGGCTTTAGGTGCCCCAGCCTCCACTATTCTGCCTCTTGGTTTGCATTCAGTTCCCCTGCTTTCCCCAAGATGTTCCACATTTTGTCTTTTATAGCTGCACAGACTTTCAGTGTTGTTCTTTCCTACTTTGGTGTAGACTGGATGCCAAAAACTGCAAGCGCATCAATCTCGGAGGAAGTCAGGCGGCCGGCTACCTGCAGCGGCTCCTCCAGCTGAAGTACCCGGGGCACCTGGCAGCCATCACGCTCAGCCGCATGGAGGAGATCCTACAGGAGCATAGCTACATTGCTGAGGACTACGGGGCAGGTGATGCAGGGGACCTTGCTCCAGTTTCCCAGCTCTGTTGACCTTTGAGGGTTCTTCGCGTTGTTACCAGTGTGGCCCTTGCTTGCCCAGCACCCTTCTCCCCTTTTGCTGTTCACTGTGAGATTAGCCAGTGAACTAATTGCCATGAACAGGTTCCCTTCACACACTGTAGCTTTATAATGTGCCTCCGGTATAGCTTGCAGCTTGTTTTAAAAGTTCTCATTTTTGAGAGAGGGAGGACAGTGTGCCAGCTTAAAAAGTTTGAGACCAGCTGGGCATGGTAGTGCACGCCTTTAACCCCAGCACTCAGGAGGCAGAGGCAGTCGAATTTCTGAGTTCAAAGCCAGCCTGGTGTACAGAGTGAGTTCCAGGACAGCCAGTACTACACAGAGGAGAAACCTTGTCTCTACAAAACAAAAAAAGGTTTGAGATAAATTGAAATTGCTTTAGCTAACGTCCTTAGAGTGATGTCAGAATAGCTCTCGGGTTTCAACAGATCTTTAGCTTTTATTTTTGAGGCAGTCTCCTTACATAGTCCAGGCTAGCCACTGCTCGAGTGTAGCTTCCTGTTCTTGCCTTGGCCTCTAAGTATCCTGAACGTCTCATTGTATTTACTTTGATGTTCTTTTGGTGGCTATATTGCTTATTGTACAGATGTGATAAATAATGTTTTTCTTACAAATGTAAATGATTCTGATAAAACTCAAGAACTATGGTTAGTAGCTCTATTAAGACACTTTCCCACAGTGTGTGACTGGGCTTTCTTGTAGTCATGAAAGGTACTGGCCTTCAGCCCACCACTGCTGAGCTTTGGGAAGGCAAAAATAGTATAATGCCTTTATTTGATTTTTATGCTTTAATCAGAAAGCTTATTTGGTCTACTCTAAGGACAGAGTGATAGAAACTAGCAAGAGTACTGCCTGCACCCAGATGTCATTATCTTTGAAGATGCTCATTGGGTAAATGTGCTTGCTTCTAGAACCCATGAAGTGGAAAGAGGGAAACCAACTATAGCAAGCTGTCCTCTGACCTCACGTGTACGCTTCACATATACACGAATGTTAAAAAGATTGAGGGTGGGGATGTGGCTCAGTGGTAGAGAGTACTTGCTGTCCTGGATTCCATCCCTAGCTTAGAATGAATCAGACATGAGCAGACTTGAAGGTAGAGGTGGGATTGGAGGATCAGATATACAAGGTCATCTTTGCCTCACCGTGAGTTTGAGGCCAGCACAGACTGTATGAGACCTTGTCTCAGAAGGAGCAAACCTGGAGGGTAGAGAGCTGGCTCAGAGCACTGGCTCCTGCAGAGGACCTGGGTTCACTTTGGAGCACATAGTGGCTCACTACCATACCCAATTCCGGTTCCAGGCATCTGCTGGTCTCCATGGGGATCAGACATGTGCACAGTGTCCTTAACACACAAATAGGCAGAGATAAAAACCAACCACTCACAAGTACACAGAAAATTCAGCAAAGAAAATAACAGTCCAACCCTAATTGTGGTAGAAACCATAGAATATAAAATTTATCATCTGCCTTTTTTTCTCTTTCTTTTTTTAAAATATTTTGTTTTTTGGACAGTCTCCCTTTGCAGGCCCATCTTGACATCAAACTCATGACTCTCCTGCCTCAGCAAGGTTTGTTTTAAACGGTGATTAGGGTAGCTGAGTGGTGGTTACAAGCTGTGTCTTCAGAACACCTTTGGTTAATGAGTCACAAAGAAGTTGGGGAGCTAGACGTAGAAAGAAAGTTGTGGGTTCCCTTTCCTTCCTATACTTTGATATTAGAGTAGCTTTTTAAAATTTTTTTTTTCTTTTATTTATGAGACAGGGTCTCACTAAGAAACTATGTAATCCTAACTCACAACCCTGTCACTCCAGATCCAGGGGATCTGATGCCCTCTTGTGGCTCCCATGAACATTGCATGCATGTGGCGCACAGACATATGCAGGCAAAAATCATTCCTGCACATAACATAAAATAAATTTAATAGCATGTAATTCTGTGAATTCCCCTCTTCGGCACTGCTGCTGTGACTGCATCCTATGAATGTTGATAGATTTTTATTTTTATTGAGTTTAATATTTTCTAATTTCTTCAAGACTGTTTCTTTAAGTGATTGTTTAGAAGTATTTGTGAGACACCTTTCTGTGATTTATCTTTGGTTTAATTCCACTGTGGTGAAAGCGCGTTATTTGATGTCAGCTGAGCTTGTTTATTGTGTGACCCGGCATGTAGTCCTATTTGAGGGCATTTCCTGTGCTGCATGGGTAGGGTTCAGGTCTCTGATGGTGATGGTGGTCAACACTGTGATAGCCTTGACACCCCGTTCCTTCTGCTAGTGCTGTTGATAATTAGGAAGAGTGTCCTGCTGTCAGTGGGTGTGATCATGGGTATCCCTATTTCTCCTGTCAGTTCTGCCCATTGTTTTATTGTTTTTGTTTTTAAACTGAGGTCCAGACGTTACAGTGCTAGGCAAGCACTCTATTTCTGAGCTCTGTTCCCAGCCCCCATCTGTCAGTGTGTGCTGTTTGTTATCTGGCTTTGTCTTGTTAGCTGCATACTTAACATTGTTATGTCTTCTTGTCCCTTGACCTTTTATCATTATTGGTGTCCCTTTTTGAGTCTAGCAGTTTATTTTTTTTTTCTCTAGAGTCTAGGAGTGTAACTTTTTCTCATCTTTGTAGACTCTATTGATCACTTCAGGGAAGCAATGTTAGCAGCAGACTTTATGTTTTATGCCAAAGTGTCTCACGTGCTGAACTTGTGACCACTGAGAGCCCAGCAGACAGTAGTGTTTTTATTATTTTTAGTTCATGTTAAGTGATTCATGAGGCAGTTAGCCTCGTGTGTTTAACAGATTTACTTAAACTCTGGCTGTTGCAGCTTCCTTCCTGTGTGATTTCTGTCTGGAGCCCCTCAGAGTGGTGTGTGTGTGCCCGGGTTGTACGGCTGCGTTTGGTGTTTCCGTGGAGTCAGAGGTTCTGAGTGTTACTGTCACTTGTGCTTGGCCTCGACTTTCCGATTTGCTGCTAACAGGGCTTTGACCCTCTAAAGTCCCCAAACCATTTCTTTGAAGAATTGCAGAAGTGGCGGTGTCCTGATTACTATGAGAACAATGTCCACAAGATGCAGCTCCCGTTCTCTAGCAAGCTCCTGGGCAGCACGCTGACGGCTGAGGAGAAGCAGGAGCGGCGGCAGCAGCAGCTGCGATGGCTGCAAGAGCTCAATGCCCGGCGTCGGGAGGAGAAGCTGCAGCAGGACCAGGAGCGGCTGGAGCGGCTGCTGTATGTGCAGGTGATGGCAGCAGGGCTCTGCCCTGGCCTTGCTCTCTAAGGTGCTTCTGGAATGTTCTCTTCCTCTCTGGTTTCCTTGGCCATAATGTGCATTGGAACTGGAGCCCAGAGACCAGAATCATCGAGATAATTTACATGCATAAAGCAGGTGGTCTGTGCAGAGCCGCAGCCTCCAGCTCTGTTTAGTCTTAGGGCGGGCGTCTCAGTGAGTTTCACAAAGTGACACTGTGCATGTTCCAGCTCTCAGGTCAAGGAGCAGTATTACTGTCATCTCTTCAGTGACTCCTTCCCCCTCAGAGATGGCCGCGTCTGTGATTCTCTCACCGTAGATTAGGTTTCACTTACTAGATGGTGCTGAAACCAGGATGCAGTGCTAACTAGTCCAGACAGTCGGAGATGAGGGCAGACGTGAGCCTGGGCTGGGAGCCGGAGAGGTGGTTCTGGGGGGGCTGGTAGCCCCAGAACACTCACACTCTCGCTCTCTCTCTCTCTCTCTCTCTCTCTCTCTCCCTCCCTCCCTCCCTCCCTCCCTCCCTCCCTCCCTCTCTCCCTCTCTCCTCACCCCACACCTCTCTCCTGGCTTCTGAGCTACTTTGTCCAAGTTGATGACTGCGCCCGCTCTGGTTTCAGGAGCTCCTAGAGGATGGCCAGATGGACCAGTTCCACAAAGCTCTGATAGAGCTGAACATGGACTCCCCAGAAGAGCTGCAGTCCTACATACAGAAGCTCACCTTGGTAGTGGAGCAGGCTAAGCAGAAAATCCTTCAAGCAGAAGCCAGCCTCGAGGTGGACGTGGTGGACAGCAAGCCAGAGGTGACTGGGGCCTGGGGAGGGACTCTCCTTGGGTCCTTAGGCTGGACAACAAGTGCCTTTACACCCTGAGCCATCTTTGCAGCCTTCCACTTTCTCTTTTTGAGACAGGATTTCACGTAGCAGCCTGTGCTGGCCTTGAACCTATATGTTGTTACAAATGACCATGAGGTACATGGTAGCAGTACACACTTAAGAGTCCCAGCACTGGGGAAGTAAAAGCACCCCAGACCAACTTCCACTGAACTACTGGGCATTTTCATTTGCTCTTCCAGGCTGCATGCTATGTTCAGATGAGAGCTGGCTTTCCGGAACTCAAAACCATATCATCTGGTGTGCATTCATCCATGAGCTTTGTACTTAGACTGGAAAGTATCACAGGGTCAGATGCAGGCAATGGATTTTGAATCCGAAGAAAAAACAAGCAGCTGAAATGGGATCCCAGGCAGTTGGGGACCCTGCTTCCCTTTGTTTCTCACCTGCAGATAGTTAGCTATATGCTGTAATTTCAACATCCCCCCGTCTCATCTCAGTACTTCTGTATCTTGTCTTGCTCTGGGGCCGTACAGCAGGTCTCTGTAGACTTGAGGAGGTTTCAGACATGTTTCCAAAGCTTGTTTTAGGAGCCTGGGAAGATGGCATTGATCCCTCAGGTATGAAGAATGAGTTTAGATCCCCAGTACTCAGACTGGGCGTGATGGAGTGTGCCTGTAATCCTAGCCCTAGGGTGGCAAAGATAGGAGGATCCCCAGAGCTCACTGACCAGGGAGCATCAGGTTCTGGAAGAGGCTGTCAAAAAGTACAGTGGAAAGCTAGGCAGTGGTGGTGCATACCTTTAATCCCAGCACTTAGGAGCAGAGGCAGAGGCAGGCAGATCTCTGTGAGTTTAGGCCAGTCTGATCTACAGAATGATTTCCAGGACTGGCTCTGTAGCTACTGGAAACTGTCTCGAAAAACTAAAAAAAAAAAAAAAAAGGAGAAAGGAAGAAGAAAAAAGTAAAGTACCATGGAGGGGCTAGAGAGATGGTTCAGCTGCTAAGAGCTACCTGCTCTTTCAGAGGACCTGAGTTCAGTGTTCACTATCAACATTGGGTGACTCTTAATCGCCTATATCTCCAGCTGGAGTTCCCACCAGCATCCTCTCATGTCTTCTTCCCACAGATCAATTCATTGATTGATGGATAATGCTGGATTATCTCATGAAAATGCTATGCGGACTAGACTTTGGACTTCTTAATTCTTCTCTCTCTCTCTCTCTCTCTCTCTCTCTCTCTCTCTTTCTCTCTCTCTCTCGCTCTCGCTCTCGCTCTCGCTCACGCTCGCTTTTTCTTAGGCTCGCACGCTGCAGCTCTGGCTGTCCTGGGATTCGCTCTGTAGACCAGGCTGGCCTCAAACTCCGCTTGCCTCTATTTCCCAAGTGATGGGATTAACACACCTGACCTTTTTGTTTTTAAGTTGTGTGGTCATGTGCGTATGTGTGCACGCGTACTGTAGCACACAAACGTGAAGGTCAGAGGACAGTTTTTGAGAGTTAATTCTCTCCTTCCCCCTTGTAGGTTTCAGGGATTGAAGCTCAGGTTGTCAGTTTAGTGGCAAGCTCTCTTACACTTTGAGCCATCCTGCTGGTCGTCATTTAGCCTTTTGTTAACCCGTCATCCCCACCCACCTCCAGTGTGAACTGTTCTGAAGAGTATTTAGTTTTCAGACAGGTGTTTGGAACGCTGGCTGAGACCCCATTCATTTTCAGGATAGAGTCAGAGCTGAGATTTGTTGGCGACAGTTTCTCCACTATTTGATTCCTGCTGTGTTCTGTCCGCAGACCCCTGACCTGGAACAGCTGGAGCCCTCCCTGGAAGATGTGGAGAGTATCAATGATTTCGAGCCCTTGTTCTCAGAGGAGGCGCCCGAAGTGGAGAAGCCAGTCACCACGGTCCAGGTTTGATAACTGCTACCACATGTGCATTGTGAAGTTGTTGACATAAGTGACCGGCCCAGTCTGCTTCCGGGAGCCTTGAAAGCCCCAGTTGTGCTTCAGCAAGGGCACCAGTACTCCCAATGTCAGCCAGAGGCTTTCCCTGGTGGTTGTTGGGGGTGCCAGGGCCCCCCTGAATGTGAGCAACTGATAGCAGAGGTATCTGTCTAGTGACTGAGGTCTCCAGACCTGCAGACTGGCTCTCAGTGGTTTCCTTTACATTTTAGCCAATGTCATCATCCCTGCTGGGATCTGTGCCTCTTGTCATGATGGCAGCAAGATAAACTGACCGTACCTGAGCCTTCGGTGGGAGGAGGTGCTGGACCAGGATGGGTGGAGACAAGGTCTCCCCATCTGGGCATCTTCACCATTCCTCTCCAGAGTCCCTTCTGCAGCTTGGGCACAGCAGTGTGTAGGGATTTGTCATTCTGGGGTTGAGCAAAGGTGGAAGGCAGGGTCTTGAAGTGAAGAGAGCTGAGGTGGGGTGGTTCTGACCTGGACTGGGAAGCTGGGCTGGAGAAGTAATCTGAGAAAACTGATAGCTGAGGGATTGTCATTATGGCCTAAAATCATCTCTTAAACCTTGGGTTTGAAGCCCGTGTTTAACTTGGCAGCGTATCATCAGCTCTTCGTTGGGACAGAAAGGATTCGTGCTCCGGAGATCATTTTCCAGCCTTCTCTCATAGGAGAAGAGCAGGCGGGGATTGCAGAGACCCTTCATTATGTCCTGGACAGGTGAGTGGGGGACCACCCTATCATCACCCGCACCTCTTCCTGGGTTTTGCCTGGGAAAGGTGACTGATGGGCGTGGGAAGATCTGTAGCTCTCTCCATCGCTGGCTCTACTTAGGTAGTCTGCTCTGATCCGGGCCTGCAGGGAGAAGAGGTCTGAGCTCCCTCCGTTTGTGAGCTCTGCAAACTTAACCTTTGAGTCTGAGCAACAGTGCACCCTGGCTTTCATGTGAAACTTGACATTGCTAAAAACCAGTGACTGTTTATGTATTCGTTGAGATAGGGGCTCTTTATGTACTCAGTGACCTTGAAATTTTCAGAGTAGCTGGGATCATAAGTGTATACTACCATACCCAGCAAGACTAGTGATTTTTTTTAATTTAATTTAATTTTTAAATTATGGGGGGAGATGTATACATGAGTATAGGGACCTCTTGAGTCCCCTGCAAAAGCAGTGTGTACTCTTAGATGTGTATGTATGTGTGTGGCATTGGATCCCCTGGAACTGGAGCTACATATAGTTGTAATCTGTCATGTAAGTGCTAGGAATTGAACCCTGGTCTCTGAACAACCAGTGTGCATGTGGTATGGACTCTTAACCACTGAGCCATCTCTTCAGCCCCAAGACTAGTGTTTTGTTTTGTTTTCTTTTCCATTTCTGTTTTTTCAAGACAGGGTTTCTCTGTGTAGCCCTGGCAGTCCTGGAACTCACTCTGTAGACCAGGCTGGCCTCAAACTCAGAGATCTGCCTACCTCTGCTTCCCTGATGCTGGGAATGATGTGTTCTACCACACCCAGCAAGACCAGTGATTTATAGATCATTCTCCAAATACTGCAGTGCTTATGAAAGACTGCTCTTCCTCTTGTAGGCACGTGTTTATATAGCGCTTACATTTCTATATGAATGTGCCTGCCACTCGTGCAGGTGGTTCCCACAGCGACTGTTCTTCACTCCGATTGGGCGAGTGGAGTGTGTGGTTTGTTGCACTCTGGTTTCTTTGGTTACGGTAGGTTGGAGCAGAGGTTATTGTGATCCTAAGCACAACTGCCCTGGTCCTTGGGCTTTCTCACTGTTCTCTGAAGACTGTCCTGGCTTTCTCCAGCTGACTCTCTTGGCAGGCATGACTTCTTCCTTGTTGAAATAGGAGCGGCGGGGCTGCGTCCCCGGCACCCGGCCGCCCGCATGGCTAGCTTATGCCCGAAATAATTACACGGAAACTGTATTCTTTCAAACACTGCCTGGCCCGGCTAGGTCCAGTTTCTTATTGGCTCTTACATATTGTTCTAACCCATTTCTAATATTCTGTGTAGCCCACTAGCTGGCTTACCAGGGAGGATCTTAACCTGCATCTGTCTGGAGCGGGAGAATCATGGCGACTCCTCCACTAACCTTCCTTTTCCCAGAATTCTCTTCTGTCTACTCCGCCTACCTAATTTTCTGTCCTATGAGGGCCGAGGCAGTTTCTTTATTATTACAAGACCCACCTCCATCACTTCCTCTCCTCTCTCTCCCTTCTCCAGGCAGCTGCTGAGATTTACAGCTTTCCTGCCCTGTGGGTTTTCTTCCCCCACCTCCCAACTTTAATAAAAGGATCCTCGGGTTAAAAAAAAAAAAAGTGTTACAAAAGCAAAAACCTTGTGGAGCTGTGAACGAAGAGCAGAATACTGGTTTATCTTTTAATTGTCACTCAGACACTGATAAGTTGACTGCTCTACCAAGAACTTACCTTTCCTGGCCTGTCTACAGTGTGTTTCAGCAGCCAAGGTGGAGCATCCTTTCTGTGTCTCCTAGGTACCCGAAGGCTGTTCAGGATACCCTGGTCCAGAACGTTTTCCTCACTGGTGGGAATGTGATGTATCCAGGCATGAAGGCCAGAATAGAGAAGGAGCTGCTAGAGATGAGGCCCTTCCAGTCCTCCTTCCAGGTACCTATGCTGCTCTGTGTCGTCTCCTGCCCACTGTTTGTGATTTCGTCCAGCCGCTGGCTGGTGATGAGTGGTGACCGGGATTCTGCAGTCTGTCACCCACTACAGAGGGTCAGCGACCGGCCTTGTCTTTAAGCCACAGTCTGTTGATTTGGGATGGAAGTCCTGCTTGTGTGTCATTCTGGTCTTCCATTTTGTCGACAGGATTGAGCATACACTGAAGTTGGAAGAGCATCCTCAGCGTAGGAAGATTCTCACCAACCACAGCAAAAGCATCCTAAGTTCTCCCAGGGAGGCACACGCTGTCTGATAGTTCACTAATCTCCAGACAGGGAGGGTCTGGTTCTTCTGGAGTACCAGGAGTGTGCTTGGTTGACTCTTCTCTGGATAGCTGTTATTTGAGGTCATGGGGGAACAGGAAGGAGGCTGAGCTAGGGAATCATGTGATTAATTTACATTTTAGGAAGATAGTGTGAGGTCAGCCTGTATGCATAACCAGTGAGTTCAAGTCAGCCTAGATTGCATAGGCTCAATCTCAAAAAGCTAAGAGAGAGCAGGGAGGGAGAAAGAGAAAGATTTTTCACAAACAGGACAAATAGTACTTATTTTTCTTTTGCTTGTTTTTATGATAGTTGTTATTTTTGTGGTGCTGGTAGCGGAGCCCAGAGCCACGTACCTGCTGTGTAGGCACGCTGCCAGTCAGCCACATCCCAGTCATGTTTCTTTCAGTCATTTTAAAGCATTGCTAAGTAGCAGACAGTTTAAATGAGCCAAAATAAAAATAAAGAATAGAGGCCTTGGGAGGCAGAGTGATATGGGTCTCTGTGAGTTTGAGGCCAGCCTGGTCTACAGAGTGAGTTCCAGGACAACCAGAGCTATTACACAAAGAAACCCTGTCTCAAAAAAACAAAGAAAGAAAATAGGTTGTAGGGGTGGAGAGATGTGTCAGTGGCTAAGAGCACTTTCTGCTCTTGCAGAGGACCTGGGTTTGGGTCCCAGCACCCACGTGGCAGCTCACCACTGTCTGTAGGTCAGGTTTCTGGGGATCCAGTGCCTCTTCCGGCCTCCATGAGTACCAGATATGTACATGGTACACAGACACACATGCGATAAATATTTAACAAAATCAAATTGTGGACTCAGTAGTGTTTGTGACCAGTATTATTCATGTGTCTTTTCAGGACATATTCTTGTCATGTTTATAATTTTAAGCAAACAGAAAGATTAGTGATAGCTTGTTTTGTGGCTTTTTTCCACTTTGAGATTATTGTGACAGTTTATCAGTTTGAGCCATTGTTTTCATAGCTTTGTGGCACTCTTGTGGACCACTGGTGGCACTGCAGTTTTTATAGTCACAGTAGCTGCCACTTACTGAACACTGTGTCAGGCAGAGTGCCAGGCCTGTACTCACCAGAGCAGGGCTCTTATCTTACCAGATAGCAAGTCTCCTGTGCACAGGTCTTTCTGTGTGGCAGCCTGGGTAGTCTCATGCCCAAGCTTTCATTTACCTTTGGTTTTTTTCTTTTTCTTCCTTCTCCTCCCCTCCTCTTCTTCCGTCTCTCTTTTTTGAGATTGGGTCTTGCTTTTTTGCCCAGGTTGGCACCAAGTTCATCATCCTTCATCTCCCAGTTGTGCCGCTCTGCTGAGACTCAGGCTTGCAGCCGTGCTGCCCCTGTTGCCCACAGCCTGTGCCCACCTCTGCTGCTGTGTGTGGCCTGTGCTTCATTTCCAGAAATTCCAAATCCACCAGTCAAGCTTGAGAACTATGGTTGGCAGAGGAAGTGGGGTGGGAATTGAGATAAAGACTCCAAAATAGGAGACCTGTTCAGAGCAAGGGCTTTACCGTGACTGACCGGGTGGGGCTAGTTGAGGGGACTCTGGTGGCTGTTGGCTCCAGCCTTGTCTGCCTGGGACATTGGCAGTATCAGAGAGTGCCTGGTCACTCTGCTCTGTTGTAGTTTCTCGCAAGTTCTCTTGTTGCCACGGGTCAGTGCTACCCTGCACCTTCCAGGTCACCCCTCTCCTTGCGACAGTTTGTGATTATCAGCATCACAGAGCAGGGGCCTTGGTCGAGAAGCTAGACCTGTGAGTTGGTGCCTGTGTAACTGTGTGCTCTTTCTGAGAGGCTTAATTTTGTTTGGAGGATGCAGAGGCTGTTCCACACACTGGAGGCACTACCCGGGCCCTTCTGATGTTTCTGATGATGTGGGAATGGGGTGTGGCTGAGCTGCAGGACCTTCTTCCCTGGGCCTAGAGCTCTGGTAGGAGATGCCTTTTTTCAGAGTGCCTCTGCTTCTTGTTCCAGGTTCAGCTTGCCTCGAACCCAGTGCTGGATGCCTGGTATGGTGCCCGAGACTGGGCCTTGGATCACCTGGAAGACAGTGGAGCCTGGGTCACCAGGAAGGACTATGAAGAAAAGGGGGGCGAGTACCTCAAGGAGCATTGTGCCTCCAACACCTACGTTCCCATTCGCCTGCCTAAACAGGCCTCACGTGCCTCAGAGACTTCTGGGAGGGGCTCGGGGGCCAGTGGAAGTGGAGCTGGTGAACAGGCCTAGCGGAGGGTCTCCAAGATGGCTGTGTGCTTCACGCAGGACGTAGGCAGTATCTGGGACAAGGACAGTGCCCGCTTCACTGCCTGAGTCCACCAGCTCTGTTTGGCCACTGACTGGATTTCTCCTGGGAGCACAGCAGAGGACAGCAGGTGATCTCCCTCAGTGAAGGACAGAGTGGCCTCTGGCATGAGAACCGCAGGCAAGCTATGGTACTGCTTTCCTCGGCAGTGTGGGAAGACGGCTGGAGGCTGGAAGTGGACGGGCACAAGGTGTTTCTCTCGGCACGTGAAAGCCTCTGTTTTCTAAAAAAACGCTCTGTAGTTATTGGTGTAGTGTGTATTCTTCTGCACGTGTGGCAGTTCTGTGACTGCCTAGAATGTTCAAAAGATGGTATTGAAATCGTGGAAGTGGTCATCCTGAGTCTCAGGGTGGAAAGACCCCACCCACCCCCATCCTCTGCCTGGTGCATGTCCTGAATGGACACACTCAAGAACTGAGCCTGGTAGCCCCAGCCAGAGCTGCTAATGGCAGCGCAGAATCAGAATCCGGATGTCTGGATCCCAGGGATTTTGAGCGCACTTAGGTGATGTGCGCACCACACAACCTACTTACTGCCTCATTTCGCTCTGAGTAATCTATCTCCAGTCTTCAGGGACTGAGAAACTGCAGGCCAGAAGGGACTGGGTGTGTGGGGGACCCTGGTGTCCGACCCATGAGTTCCTAAGGCATTTCCTATTGAGTCATCGGCTGAGCTTGGCAGGATGGCAGGAGTCTGGACCAGCCTTCCCAGCACCATCCAGGGCTAGAGATGGGCTAAGCAGGGGCCATCTCAGTCTTCTTCCTTCAGTCTGCAGTTCAGACAGCCTGAGCAGCAAGGTCACAAGGTGAATGGTGAAGGGTTCTGGACAGATGAACCTGGGACTTCACACTGTGAAACTCAGTAAGCTGGATTGCTTGGGTTTTAGGTGTTGATGAACATGGGAGAAGATTAGGAGCTGAGGGAAGGGATGGGCTAAGGGGCTAAGCCATGAGCTCTCTAGTTTTCTCCCCTGTGACACATGCCATGACCTTTTGGCCTCCATATGGCACTTAGGGAATCCTACCTGGTACCAGAACATGTATACTATGGGCTTTAAGCCCTAGCTGGTTCCCTTCTAAGCAGTGACATTTCCCTGTGTCTCATGCAGTTCAGAGGGTGCTAGGACCTTGGCCTTCAGAGCTTCAAAAGAAGAAGCATCTTGTTCTGTCCCCTCTCCTGCTGATAATTTGTCACAGCAGGCAGCCAGGTGGGAAGTGGTTAAACATACGAGGGGATGTAACTTGCCCCTTCCCCCGACCCAGGAGACATCGGCAAAGGTTCGCCAAGTAAGCCCGCGTGTCAGTGAGAGGAGGAGGAAGGGTCTTGTGGGTCTTGACTGTTCTAGGTACCCTGTACAAATAATGTAGATCATGTGGTGCTTATCTTGTAAGTGGTCTGTTTGACCTAGCATGATGCCATCATGACCTCGGGTTTGTGATATCACAGGCGGCAAGGCATCTTGAGCTGTCTGTATTGTCTCACATCTCCCTCCCTTCCTTTCCTTCTTTCTTTTTCTTTTTTTCTTGAGTGGTCTGGCAGTCATTGGCTGGCTTAGAACTCACTATGTAGACCTGGCTGACTGGCCTCGAGTTTGTAGCAATCCTCCTGCCTCTGCTTCCAGAATGCAGGATTATAGATAGATATGTGGTGTCACCACACCCGACTGTACCGTGCTCTGTCAGTGTGCTGGGCATGGAGGTCACCTCTGCTCAGCTGTTAGGAATACTCAAGGCTGCTGGTGGGTGTTGGACTTCAAGTCTGAGGAAGCTGTTTGCAGAGCAGCTGTCTCTACATCCCACCGGAAGGCCCAGGCTCTGGTTCTATATCCTCACCAATTCTTATTTCTTAGTCTTTTGTTTTTGTTTTTTATGGAAATCAAACTAGCGGTTTTGATTTGTGTTTCCCTGCCGGTCGATGGAGTTGACATTTTTACTCTTGCCTGTTGGTCATGTGGGTGTCTTTCGGGATGTAGTTGATCAGAGTGTTGGCAAAGACTTGCTTCCTGTTCTTGACATCCTTTCCCATGTTCTGGCCCCCAAAGTAGGGAGGTTACAGTATTGAGCTACACTGGAAAGTTAGGAATTACCCCTCAGTCAATCCTAGCTCCCCTCAGTGTGGGGATAGGCTAGTGAGCCAGCAGGTCCTCTGGTGCCACCTGGTGGCTTTCTGGGGGAGCTACAATGGCACGGTTGCAAAAGTGTGGTGTAGGCTCTCTGAACTGAGGGCTGATTTTGGAAAGGACCAGATTTATTTAAAAAGGCATGGTGTACTCTGAACCTGAGATGATGCCTACTCGGACCCCAGAGACTCCCAGGGGAGCCTGCCACATTCACCCCGCCTTGTCATGTGTCAGGGTCTTGCTACAGCCCAGGCTGGCTTCAGACCCTGGATCCTCCCCATCCAACCTCAGTGCTGCGCGCGGGGGAGGGGGGGGGTCGGCGGCTGGCACCACCACCATCTACAATTTGGAAAAGTGCCAAGTTTGAAAGAGCTGCCCTAGGCACTGGGTGAGGAGATGGGGAGCAGAGGTGCATTCTGGGACAGGCAGTGTTTTGGCGCTGAGGCAGAAGATTCTTCAAGGAGAATTTCAAGTAGGCGTGATGACCCAAGCCTGTAATCCCACAATTGGGGAATGGAGGCCCAGGAAGGTAAGAGATCAAGGACAGCCTCAGCTACAGGAGGGTTTATCTAGGAGACTAGAATACGAGGCCATACAAGACCCTGTCAGGAGGAAAAAGTACAAACGTTTCTGCGGTCAAGCTGCTGCTTTTCTTCCGAAGGCTCAGTTCCCAGCCTGTCCCTTTTGCTCTCTACTTCCTGTGGGATTCTTGTATGTGGCTCCAGAAAGTAGAGCCTGCTGGCTGGCAAGGGAGAGCCTAGTGTGACAAAACCTTAAGTGGAGATAGCTCGCAATCAAACTTGGCCCTTAGCTCCAGGGTGAGCTCTTGTATGGAAAGCTCTGCTTGTCATCTGTTTTGAGTCTGTTTGAAATGCTATGTGGAAAAAACAATTTAAGCCATCCGGGTGTATGTGTAAACCATGTTCCGTTGTTGTCTTGTTTTTTAAAGTGTTTGGGGGCTGAGTTTGGCTCGTTAGAATGCTTGCCTAGCATGTGCAAAGCCCTGGGTTTGCACAATATAAATGTGGTGTAGTTTCATAATCCCAGCACTTGGGAGGAGGAGGCAGGAGAGTCATCCATGATACATAGTGAGTTTGAGGCCAGCCTGAGACTCCATCTCCATAAAAGGAAAAGAGCCACTTAAATTGTCACTGTGGCTTGGTTATATTCCACCCAGGTAATAACTTCCCTGTGTGTGCCTCTGCTTTTAGAAATGAAGCCCTGGGGTGTGTGTGTGTGGGGGTTGCTTATTTGTTGTTTGTTTGGTTGGTTTTTTCAAGGTAGGATTTCTCTTGTGTAACAGCTCTAGTTGCCCTGGTACTCGCCCTGTAAATCAGGCTGTTCTTGAACTCAGAGATCCGCCTGCCTCAGCCTTCCAAGTGCTGGGATTAAAGCTGTAAGCCACCATTGCCTGGCTGCAGCCAGCACTTTTAACAACAAAACCTTCTCCCCAGCTCCTTAGGTCTCCTTTTCTGTCTAGGTGTGGCGGCACGTGGCTGTGGTCACAGTACTCAGGAGACTGAAGGATCTGTTCATCAAAAGACTAGCCTGCTACACAGCAAGATCCTGTCTTAAAAACCATAGCAAAAGAATCCGTGTTTTCGGGGGCCAGTTCAGTTCATCTTGGGAATGAAGCCCTTGCCCCATATATGCAGGACTCAGCGTTCTGTCCCCAGCCTCGGAAAACAGGTGAAGCGACATGTGCCTTGTGCAGTGGAGTTGGAAGTCATGTGTTGTGACAAGCCAGCCCAATCGGGGCACAATCCATAAATCCGAAGGGAAGCCAGGCAGCCCAGTTATGTAACTGTGGCTTACACAGAAGGTTTTATTTTAAATGGCTTTAAGTAGATCACTTTATTTTTAAGTGACTTTCACAGTTGTTGAGGAAAAAAATAGTTGAATGTGTATCTTTAGTGGGATGTGTTCTAAAACAGAAAGAAATGGCAAAGGAATCTTTTCATAATTATGTTAATAATAGCACAATATGGTTATTCTGAGGATCAATATATGTCTATATTCAAATAAATATTCTAATGTTAGGAGCCAAACATTTCAGTGTGATAGGATGTAAAGATGTAAAATCAAATGAAAGGAACTTTGGTTACTATAAATTAGAATTGCAGATCCCGATATGAGCACATGATATCTCTTTTCTTCAAAAATACTAGTATCAGGCCGGCAGGATGGCTCAGTGGGTAAAGTCACATATCTGCGAAACCATACAGCCTGAGTTAGAGTCCTCAAACCCACATCAAGGTGGAATGAGAGCTCCAGACCTCCACACATAAGCCGTGATGAACACACATGCATGTACATGATGATACAATTTAAAAACAAAAGCGCTAGTGTCAACTAGATAGTGCGGTGCATGCTTGTAAATTCCAGCACTTAGAAGGTGCACTCGGGAAGGTCACCCTAGGCTGCATAACTGGTGCTAGGCCACCTTAGGGTGCAGCTCCCTAAGGCCTCTTTCGACTCACAGCCTTGCAGTTTTCAGTTCATGTTCCACAGTAAAGCAGAACATGGGGACATGGGGATGCTGGGAGGGAGGCAGAGATGTCACCGGATGCCCGGATAGTGAAGACGGGAGAAGAGGGACTGTGGCTTCCCTACCCCCTTTAAGGATGTGCTATTAATAGCCTTCCCAATAGGCCCCACCTCTTCAAAGTTTTGACCACCTCCCAGTTACATGACGCTGAGGATCACGGCTTTTACATATCCTTTGGGGACATCCAATATCCAAATCAAAGCATAGGTGCTTCTACATCATTTAAGAGTTTTCATGTTGGGCTGGGTGTGTCTCAGTGGTATCGAACCTGTTTAGAATGTGTGCTCACTGTGTATGTGTAATGTGTACATGTGTGTTTGTGTGCATGTGGAGGCTAGAGGTTGCTAACTTACCTACTGAGGTAGAATCACTCATCGTGGGGCTCACCGACTTGGCTGGTCCAGTTAGCTGCTTGCTCTGGCAATCCCCACCTTTGCCACCTGACCATTGGAGTTGCAGCTGGGCCACCACCCCTGCCCAGCTGCTTATGTGGGTGCTGGGGATTCAGACTTGGGTCCTCAGGCTGTCAACAAGCACTCTGAGCCATTCCCTCAGCCCATGGTGGATAATTTTGATTGTCAACTTGATGGGATTTAGGATCACCATGGAAACAGGTCTTGGGTTCATGTCTACAACAGATTATCTGGAGTAGGTAAACGGAGGCAGGAAATCCACCCCAAATGTGGGTGGGGTCTTAGAGAGCAAACCAAACCCCAGTCTTCCTCACTCTGCTTTCTGACTGGACACAATGTGACCAGCTGCCTCAGGCTCCCACCATGACGGACTGTTTCCCCCTGGAACTGTAAGCCAAGATGAATTCTTCCTTAAGTTGCTTTTGTTGGATATTTTGTCCTCGGAGTGAGACAAGTAGCTATTATAGCATGTGAGTCCCTGGATTCCATCCCCAGCATTGCCAAGACGATCCTGTCGCCTATGCTCTGGCCTGCTCATCCTTGTCTTTACATGGGTTAAAGGGTCTAACTCTCTTCTTTATCCCGTCTGCTTCTGTGTGGTGTTTCATTGCCTGTGTGTAGCATAATTTACCTCTCCAGATGGTGCTTGTCTTGGTGTGGGATTGTGGTGGTGGTGGTGGTGGGGTGTCTTCTCAGAGGACTAGCCAGCTGGACCAACCATCTACTGGGCAGCCTGTCTCCCCTGCCCTTCTGTAAGCCCCACGTGCGTTGTTTTCAAAGGATTTCCGTATCCGGGAACATTTTCAGACTTTCTTGTCTGTTCCCCTCATCTCTGTTTAATTCTGAACTCAGCAAGAAATTTCGTCATGGTCACTTTACATATGTGGCGGCACAAGCCTGTATCCTTAGGGCTCTGGAAGCTGAGGCAGGAGGATCCAGAATTCAAGGCCAGCCTGGGCTACACTGAGAAACCCTATCTTAAACAGTATTTTCCCCAGACCTTTGTAGGCAGAGTTGTTTTTTGGGACCACTGACTCCCAAGTAACCACATAGAGACTTATTAGTAATTATAAGGGGATGCTCGACCAATGGCTTGTTACTAACTCGCTCTGACATTTTAAATTAACCCTTAGTTCTTATCTACGCTCCTACCTGTGGCAGGACCTTCTTTCATCTTGCTCCTCTCCCTGTCTCCTTGTGACTCCTGAGACTCCTTCCTTGTCTTCCTCTACCTGACCAGCTATTGGCCAGCCATCTCTCTTATTAGCCAATGAGTGTAATCCATATTTACAGTATACAAAGATTGTTCCACAACACACCTTTCTGTATCTTTCCCTAATTATTCTTCCTTCCTCTTCCTCTTTTCCCCTATTCCTTCTTCTCTGTCCTCAGTACTGTTTTTAGTTTTCTTCTACAATTACTTTATTTGTGTGTAGACATGTTTGTGTATGCATACACCTATGTATATGTGCATGTGGAGACCAGAGATTGATATTAGATGTCGTCTTGATTATTCTCTACCTTTGTGTGTGTGTGTGTGTATGTGTGTGTGTGTTTACACCTCCAGTGTGCAGGTGTGTATACAGTTGTATTTCCCTGTGAAGACAGGTGTGGAGGCCAGAGGCTGACATTGTGATCATCTCCCTCAACTGATTTTCTACCTTGTGTTTGGGATAGGGGCTCTCAGTGAACTTGGGGCCAGCAGATTGTCTAGACCGGCTGGCCAACAGGCTTCGGGGATCTGCTCATCTTTATGTCCCTAGTGCTGTGATGACAGGTGTATGCCACCATGCCTGGCTGTTTCCATGGGTGCTGAGGACCCCGACAAGGGCTCCTTGCCTGTGCAGCAAGCACTTTGCTGACTGAGCCATCATCCCACTTCCTTATTTAGTTTTTATTATTGGCTTTCTCTCTGGGGTGTTTTTTGGAAATAATTTGTCAGGTTCCAAAATAATCCTGTGAGCATACTTATTTGCATGTTATTATAGATTCAGAGAGAAGGCAGCATCTTTCCTCCATTGACTCTTCTGTCCCTCGGCAGAATGTGTCAGTTCTCCGCAGCCAGGCCTTCGTCTCACACAGCATATCTTAGAGGGATTGCTTACAAGGTCCCCGCACAGGTCTCCCGAAGCCTCTCACTCTTTTTAGCACTTGGACTGTATCCCGTCATGCTTCACTTCAATCACTCCACCTTTGGCTGGCATTTGAATAAATGTTTCCAGATTTACTCCATTATAAATAGTGCTGCAAGAAAATATCCCGGCACAGATATGCATGCGGGTGTGTGATCGGGAATGGTGTTACTACAAATGGAATTGCTAGGTCGACAATTTGAATAATAAAGCCAGGTATGGTGGTGTCTGCATGCAATCCCAGCATTGCAAAGGCTGAGGCTGATGGGTCACAGCTTTGAGGCCAGCCTGGGGTGGATAATGACATCCTGTTTCAAAGAAAGGAAGGAAAGAAGGAAGCAAGCAAACAAGCGGGGGTAGGGGGTGGGTACTTGTCATTCTCAACACTTAGGAGGCTGAGGCAGGAGGATTAGGAGGTTGGGGCTAGCCTGGGATACAGAGTGAGTTCTAGACCAGTCTGGGCTCTCTAGAAAGACCTATCTCCTTGCCCTCCAGCAAACAAACAAGCAAACAAACCCACAAAACCCCAGATCAAGTAAAGATAAAGGCTGTGCTAATATAAAGAAATCAGCAGATTGAAGAACAGTGTGCTACCATGCAAACATCAAAGCGAAGCTGAGGGTAAACTCAGGGATCACATTGGCACAAGCTAATGTGGGTCCTAGGCTTGGTATTGAGGAGGGGATCACAGCAAGAAAGGAAATGACCATAACCATGTTCTTCTTACGCTGGTCTCAATTGGGCATCACTGCTTGTCTGTCCCCTGGCTAGAGGCCACAAGTGACCATGCTGCCACCGTGACTCTGTGGGGTTTTAGCTCCACATCTTTCTCCACCGCTGTGAATACCCGACTGAAGCAATTACTTATATTTGGGAGTCAGTTATCAAGGTGAAAACCTGATTGATCAGAGAAGCAACCAGTGACCTGTGTCTCTCCTTCCTCCATCCAAACGGGCCCGTGAATCTTTCTACGCTCTTCCTACAACTTCCATGTCTCTCTATCCCGGGTCCTTCAAAACCTTTCTTGCTAATTCTGGTCAGCTAGTAGCTAGCTCCACCCTCTGATTCAAGGTAAACTCTACTGGCAGTCTTGGGAGTGTCAGAGTGTGATCAGAGTATCCCACAGCCCCGCAAACACCTGCACTGCACACAGCCAGGCCAGGGTATGGAAGCCCCTGAGGGCCGTGGCTGTCTACAGGGAACACAATGATCAGAGAGCTCCAATGATCTTGCTGGGCGGCTCTGGATCCAGCCATACCAGAAAGGGTTTCTAAGCAGAATTCTTTGGGACCTGAGCCACAAACAAGTGTGGTTGTCAGGCCCCAGGAGACAAGAGAACTGGCAGGAAATTGGCCTCTCACGTACTGACGACTTGAATGCTTTTCTAGCGAACTCCAGTGGCAGCGGGGAGTCAGCTCTGGAAGCTTCGATGAAGGCACCTGAGCCATGGGCGACAATGAGAGGCCAGTTATTGCTGCAGAACAAACCACCCTTGTGCAGAACAAATCACCGCCTTAAAGGAGGTGATAGGGCAGTCGTGTTCCAGATTACAGAGCTGTCTTGGCTCCATATTGTAACAGAGCCAGCGTGGGTGTGCTACCATTGGACGCTGCTGCTTTGTTTTCAGTTTATCTCCTCCCAGAAGCCCAGTGGCCTTTAGAGGAGCACATGGTTAGTTCCCAGCAGGCACTAACTAGACAGCCTTCCAAGAAGTGCCGAAGCCCGGATGTCCAGAGGACGAGGGAAGAATGGTTAGCTGCAGGCTTCTCTCCGTAGAATCTGCCGGCTGGGAGGTGAGTTGGAAGACTGTTTTTAGTCTGCCGTCTTCTCAGATGGTGGGCTCTGAGTGAAGTGTGGTTTTGAAGATTGACCTCGGCATCTGCGAGTGACAAGTGACCTTGAGCTCCCACGTTCTGGTTACCTAAGGACTGTTGCCTTTGCTCAGTGTCCCACGGGTCTGCTGGGTCCCACTGGGAGGGTCACTAGTCTTGTCAGAGTCTCTGCAGCATCTACAGCCATAGGGACCTGACTGGGGCAGGTGGTCCAGGTGACCGCACTCATGTCTGGAGTCTTGGCTAGGGTTCCTGGGACAAAGGGATTAACTGGGTCCTTCTCAGCAGACTCTCTTCTCCCTGTAAAGCTCTGACTGGTCTCATATTTGTTATATAGATCAGGCTGGCTCTGGACCCATGGCTACCTGGTGTTCTTGCCTCCCTAGTGCTGATACTGCAGGCATGCACTCACCATGTCCTGGTTTGTTTTTTGTCATTTAGTTTACTCTAGCTGGGCATGGTGACACACACCTTTAATCCCAGCACTCACAAAGCAGAGGCAGATGGATCTCTGTGAGTTTGAGGCCAGCCTGGTGTACGTAGTGAGCTCCCAGCTAGCCAGGGCTACTTAGTGAGACCCTGTCTCAAAAAAAAAAAAAAAAAAAAAAAAAAAAACTACTCTAGGCTTTTATTTTTTAAATTTACTGTGTGTGTGTGTGTGTGTGTGTGTACACATACATGCCATGGAATATGTGTGTAAGTCAGAGGACAACTTTCAGGAATCAATTCTCCTTTCATTATGTGGAATCCAGGATTCAACTCAAGTTGTCAGTCTTGACAACAAGAGTCTTTACTTACTGAACCAATGTATGAGCCCTGTACACAGTGTATGTATGTGTGTGTGTGTGTGTTATTGGTGGTGGTGTATCCATGCAGATGCACATGTTGGCCAGAGGTCAACCTCAGGTGTCTCTCTTAGCCAATCCCCTACCTTAGTTTTTGAGACAGGGTCTCTCCCTGACCCTCAAGTGCACCAGTTTAGCTGGCTTGGCTGACCAGTGATCCTCAGGGATCCTCTTGTCTGGTCCTTCCCATTGCTGGAGTGACATGTTCCTCTTTTGTAGGTGCTGGGCACCCACACCCAGGTACTCATTCTTGCTTGGCTATCACTTTACTCCACTGAGCCATTCCCCTAGCCTCTCTGCTCTGGCTTTCTGCACAAGGCGGTACTACTCCAAGAAAGCCAGGCCCAATGTGAGTGCCTTTTAACCCTGTCTGAATCCCATTTGCTGACATGGGCCAAAGCAAGTCCCATGGATGAGCCCTAAGTTAGTGTATGTGTGTGTGGGGGAGGGTGTAGGGAAGCTCAGCTCTCTGGATATTGTGGTGATGTGGTGTGAAGAACAAGGCCTGGCCTGTTCATAACAGTTCACAACTATTCACAACTGTCTACAACTGTCTGTAGCTGCATTTCAGGGGATCCGAAGCCTTCTTCTGGCCTCCACAGGCACCAGGCATGCACATGGCACACATACATACATGTAGACAAGCACTCATACCCATAAAATGAAACTGAATATTTTTAAAGATCATATAATTGGTGGAACAAATAAAGAACCTATGAGATGTTGGCCTATGGCCTACACACACACACACTCACTACCATACATACGCACATAGTCACATACGCACATATGCTCACACATATACTCACACACACTTATTCACACACATACACGCAAGAACACACACACTGTTTATAAGCCCCAGACTTGGGGATGGAGGGAGCCTCTTTAGGCAGATTAAACCCAAACATGTGGGGCTGGATCCAGTGCAGACTGAGGTACTGAAGCCGAGGCTTTGATGAGAGGACTGATCAGAGGAAGGGCAGCACAGAGCTTGAACATAGAGATGCCATAGTGCGTGTGCACAGAGGAAAGGTCACATGAGGACATGCCATGGCACGTGTGCACAGTGGGAAGGTCTTGTGAAGACATGTCATGGCACATGTGCCCAGAGGGAAGGTCATGTGAGGACATGTTATGGCATGTGTGCACAGAGGGAAGGTCATGTGAGGACATGCCATGGCACGTGTGCGCAGAGGGAAGGTCATGTGAGGACATGCCATGGCACGTGTGCGCAGAGGGAAGGTCATGTGAGGACGTGCCAAGGAGGTGCCATCTGCAAGCCCAGGAGAGAGGCCTCAGGAGAAAGTGGGCTCGAGGCTTGCTACAGTGAACTTGGATTTCTAACATCCAGAACCAGAAGAATCAGCCTGCCTGTGATAGTCAAGACAGTCGTGCCAACCTTATCGAGTGACGTGGTGACCCAGAGGGGCGCTGTGCTTTCTCCCATGGGAGCCCATGCTTTTATGTTTGTTGGTTTATTATTATTATTGCATGTTTATCATATTATTTATTTATATAATAAATTTATTATACTTTATTATATTATTTATTTATTATAGTGTAGTATATTTACTATATTATATTTCTATATTATACAAAGTCTCACTATGTACCTCTGGCTGGCCTGGAACTCACAGAAATCCACTTGCCTCTTCCTCCTGAGTTCTGGGATTGAAGGTGTGCACCAGGACTCCTGATTTTGAAGCTACACTTGAGCCTAGCTGCCCTGCAGTAGGAAGCATTTGTTAACCCATCTCAATGGGCCATCCTGAAAGATCCTCGGTAGGCAATCCTCTCATAATCAATGTTAATCACCAGACACTTGGGTGAAGATGCCTCCAGGTGAGTCCACTCCCAACGATGGAGTCTTTTCAGCTGGCGCCCAGATGTGTGGGACAGAGCCAGGGTGCCCCTGACGCTGCCTTCCTAAATTTGGACCCACAGAAATCATGAGCAGAATAAAAGGGTTGCTTCATTCCACAGGTTCTCAGCAGTGTGACTCCCTCCCCAGGGCACTCCGGCAGTAGCTCTCACCAACCTGGCTCTGTCTTATAAAACCAGGGAAAAAGGACCAAATATAGTGGCACTTGCCTGTTATCCCAGCATTGGGCACTGAGGCAGGAGGGTGGGAGTTCAAGGCTAGCCCAGGCAGCACAGCAAAACCCTCTGTGGAACATGCCCTGCTTTGACAGAGAGTGGATGCTGCCACCTAGTGGCCAACAGCTGGTTTCCAGAGCTTTACAATCACTCATTAATTCCACAGACTTTCACAGTCTGTCACTGTGGTGGGTTAAGTGTTATTTAAAAAAACACATCATGGGGCTGGAGAGGTGGCTCCGTGGTTAAGAAAATTTGCTGCTATTGCAGATCTGTAACTCCCGTTCCAGGGGATCTGAAGCCTTCTGATCTCCACAGGCACCAGGCATATACATGGTGCACATACATACATACATGTAGGCAAGCACTCATACACATAAAATGAAACTAAATGTTTTTAAAGATCATATAATATGCAGAAAGAATAAAGAATATCCGAGATGTTGGCCTGTGGTCTACACATACACACACACGTGCATACTTTTTGTTTTAAGAGTAAATAAAGGAAAAAAGATAGAAGGCTTCCTTGCAGTGATTGAAAGTGGGCAATATTAGTAAGAAGCTAATGTTTGCTGAGTGTTTGTAACCCCATCAGATACATTCCACACAGTGACTAAGAGAGATTTTATCACCCCCATTTTATGGTTAGTGAAACTGAGGTGAGGAGAGTGAGAAATGGCCACAGCCTGGAGGGATCCAGCTACAGGGTCTGGGCCTTTAGTCAGGGGCACAACCGACTTACATGGCCGCATATTTCTTGCTGTTCTGTTGGAACCCCCCTTTGGGTAAACCCTGCACAAAGCCAGCAGAGCAGTGACCTTTACCGTTTTGTTCCCTTGTGAGGTGGGAGGTGGAATGGATCTGTCGGGGTCAGCGAGGACAGCCACCCCACCTTGTTTCAGCCTTCCGCTGCTCACGTGTCTGTCCCACACAGGGGGCATCACACTTCTAGAACTCTGAACAGAAACTTCCCACTGTGAGCATCATTTGCAGCTGGATTTTGTTTCCCCTCCATTGTGTTGTCCACACAGGGCACGTCCCCCAGGTAGCTAGCTCTATTTCAGCTCATTTCTGTTGTTCCGAATTCCATTACTTCCCTGCTGGCAGCCGTGTAGGTTGCTGTGTGTTTGCTCCTACTGATAAAGCTGTAATGGATACCCTTAGATTATCAGTTCTACTGCATTGGTGGGGATTTTTCTCTAGACGGGCATCATTTCCTAGGTTTTCTTTTGTTTTGTGGAAAGGGTTTCACATAGCCCAAGCTCTTCTTGAACTCAGGATGTCACTGGCTTGCTAATCCTTTAGCCTCCACCAACCAAGAGCTAAGATTACAGGCAGCACCGCTGTGCTGGAGTTGAACCCAGGTCCTTGTGCTTGTTAGGCAAATCCTCTACCCACTCATTTACACCCTAAGCCTGCTTGTTGGGGTCCCAAGACCTGTGGATCCAATTTTCCTCCATAATGCCATGTTTCTCTAAAGTTCCATAGTCCTCATTTGACAGGACACTGGCAGACCTTCTCTGTCACGTGACTATAAACTTAACATCCTGGCTGCTTTAGTTAAACTTCCTGCTGGTCAGAAGCTGAGAGATCTTCAGCCCGCCTGCTGGTCGGGGATAAACATCCTTCGCCCCTCAGCATTGTATGCCTCTCTCCTAAGTCTAGATGTTAAGAACTCCGAAGGCCTTCCCCAACCCTGTTGCATGCAGAAACATGACAAGCGTCATGACCTTCAGGCTTCTGCCTGCTGTAGGTGTCTCACATTAGGACAGGGCAACAATTTCTCTTTGCTGGGGGTGACATCTAGACTCCCCTAGAAGCAGCAGGAAACAGTAGATGGGGACTGGAGAGTCAAGGACAATGGCAGCAGCGAAAACAGCATTGGGAGGAAAGATGCTCAAGCCTCCTGTAACAGCTTCTGAAATAACTACTTAGCTGCATTTTATCTCTTCCTCCTCCTCCTCCT